AGTAAAAATGACGTTTTACACTAAGACCATTCTTCATTCTTTTATTTATTGATTTACATTTAGGCCATTCTTCGTTCTTTTATTTATTGACTTTATTTATTGTAGAACAAGCAAGGAATCTATTAACTTAGATTTAAACTGAACAAAAAAATCTACATATATAGCTTCACTTATCGTAGTAGTGCTCAACGCATAAAAATGTGCAGAGCGAAATACAAAAAAAAGGATAGAAGTTAATGGAGTTGTAACTCGGAGTTTCATGAACTAAGCGATCATCAGACTAAAAACTCTGAAAACTGATTTCAGTTTTTACTGAGGAAATTTGAAATTCATAGATGGTTGGAACTGTGCATTCTGTGATTGGTTGCGAAGAACTTGTTCTCCTGATGACACTCGGTTACCAGCTCGGATCATTTATTTAGGATAGTATCGCAGGCAGTCAAGATACAGAGTTTCTCAGAAAGGCACAAACTGCAGCATGAGGGGTTTCCCTTGTAGGCGTTTGCTGTCTTGATGATACGCCACTTGATGTCATATGCCATGTCATTGTTCTTTAGTCCCAGATGTATTTTGAAAGAACTGTGTCATGTGAGTGGTTTTGGTTCCTAAAAGAGAGTTTGTGGTTGTTGAATCTTGTTTTGAAGTCATTTTCCGTCGGTAGTTTCGAAAACAAAGCACTCGAAAAGGAAGACCGAAGCAGGAAGCACCCAAATCTCGAAAACCAAGCACCCAAACCTCGAAACCACTGTACGTTGAAGGACTACAACTTTTGAGTCTTGCATGTTGCAGGCCAAATCAGATGGAGGCAATGGATGAGTCCGCACCTTCACCAATCCATTCCGCGGAGCGTTTGATTTCTCGCCTGCAGAGGTATGGCTGTATTGATATTTAGTTGAGCCTTTCTTTCCTGCCACCCTTTTGTCTACGTAAGCCTCTGCTAGAGCACTTCGCGAGCACTTACGTTGATCACTGGTCTTACCAGTAAACTTCAAGTGTTCGTCTAGCCAGCATTCCAACTTTCTCTGCCCCCAAAAATTGAATATTTGTTTGTTTGTTTGTTTGAATGTTTGCGTAAAAGTCGTAAAATGGCCAAGGATAGAAGTTCTCTCGTCAGTCTACGCAACGGCGAGGGTCTGAACATTCAGCCACATTTATTTCAAATTTTCTCTTTCAAGTTGATCACATTCACCACTGACAAGCGCTGACTGTTACCGCTGTCCTTTCCTATATTGTTTAGCTCGAGTTTTCCCAAATCTGCCTGCCCCACGCAAGCACTACGGAGTTTTTGAAGTTTTTTTTCCGATTTTCAAAGTTTTTTCCAACCTGAAAACTTGGGATTCGCACTTAGCAATGTCCACCAATGACAGATTTCTACCTCAAGGTAGTGCGACCCATACCTTAGACAGGGTAGCCTACGTAGCCTACCTTGTCAAGGCCGTTGTTGAACCCGAAGAATTCCCATACGTATTTATTCAGTGCCACCACGTGTACTGACTACTCCTGATTTGTAACAGATTCGAGGGAGAGCCCTGTTCATTTGATTTACTTCCACCTCACGCCTCACTAGATACAGTTTCTGGAACTATAGAAATGGTTAACAATTCTTGATAACTACTTGACAGACCCTTTATAAAATCACATCAGCTGAAAACTTTACTTAGCGCAATTTTTTTTTTAAATATTTCACCTTTCTGGAGAGCTGTCTGATGGGCTGTCAGAACTTTCAGAACTCGTTCTGTAAAGCTGTCTTTTTCTGTCATGTGGGATACAAAATAGAAAATTAAACAAAATGAAACATTCAAGTTGCATAACCATATCTTTCAGTCTTATCAGCTGTGACAGATGCTGTAACTGATATGTTAAGAGAAAGTTCACACTAATAACTGCAAGGTAATGAAACAATCTCAAAAGGCGCTGTTAACAGTAGCTCAGCTGCGAGGCACAGACAAATCTACCGATCGGTCTTCTTTCACTGGGGAGCTTAGTCCTTGAAAGGTTTTGCTCAGTTCCTAAACAGACTTGTCGCTATCCTGTACATGTGAAACAACAACTTCATCACTTTCCTGTGAATGAGTGAAACTGTCTAAAGAATTCATTGAGACTGGAAGAATAGGCAAATTGACTGGCTTTAATCACATTTTTTCGTATCTGCTTCTTTTAAAGAACCCAGTTGGGTGTATCAAAGCTAACCCATGTGCCCTCCCACAATCATCTTTCAGTTTATAATGGTGTCCCAAAAGACTAGGAAACTAATGGGCTCCCTGAGAAATATACAGAAATTGTAGGTAAACTTTGTTCAACAAGTTGTGACCATTTCTTGAGAAGGAAGGTTACCATAGCAACAGCATTACCTTTAAAAAACACCCTTAATTTAAACTTTAGTGCCAATAACTCAAGACCGAGTTCAGTGATCCCCATTTTTTATTATTGAGCTATGATCCACACGTCATGATACTATGTTTTGAAAAAATGAAAAAAATTATCAGAGGTGGAAAGCCACCTGACAGAATTTTTTTATATGTCGCAAAAAGTTGTATCATGACATATTGATCATAATTCAATAATAAAAAATGGAGGTCACCGAACTCATTTTTTGAGTTATTGACACTTTAATCTTAAATTAAGGGTGGTTTTAACAGGTTATGTTGTTGCTATGGTAACCTGTTATCTCGCAAAAATGATCACAACTTATCGGCCAATGTAAGCAACTGATCAAGAGTGGTAGTAATGGAAACCGTAATTAGCCACCTTCAAAGACTTGTTAATTGATGGAACCATTTATTAACAAAGCTTCCGTAGGAAATCAAGTATATTTTCCTTACCATTCCATCACTTACTACTATTGCATGAGGTTCACGACGATCTTTGCAGGACTTTTGAGGGTCACTGGTAGCTGAAAGATAGCAAATAATACCCTTAGTGCAGGCTCCACAACAATTAAAAAAAACACACAAACACAAAATAGTGAATTAAATTAAACCAGTTGTTTAACACTCAACTAAGCTAAAAATTTGCGCTAAGTACTTACATAGACAGTGGAGCATCAAATGTGCTATGCTTTTTGCTCAAATGAGAAGAAGATTGCAGATTACGGTTTTGAGTAAGAAAAAAATGTAAAGGTTTATTTTGAAAAAATGAGAAATAAATTGAGAATTATCCAACTTGAAATGAAGAAGTAAGCACATTAAAGTAAAGGTTTTATCATTACAAACTGTCGTTTACCTACTTTCTTCAATACTCAAGGCAAGTGCCTTCCTGACAGCTTCACTTTCAGAATATTGACCATTGATGCTGAAGACAAAAGTTCATTGCACATTTCCATTGAAAAGTAACTTTTGCAACATCATAGAGATCGTGAAAAGGAAAACAAATAGACAAATCTAGAAGCTTACCTATCGTTCCACAGCAACTGGAATTAGGAGTGAAGCATTCTCACCATTTTCCTAAACATAAAGAGAAGCAAAAAGCAGATGTGACTGCAATGTTTCTCTTAGAAAAAGTGCAAATTCTGCCAGTGGGAATGAGTCGACACAACGCAACTACTTACGCTGTCATTAGAATCTTCGTGAACATTCCTGTGGAGAAAAATTATATGAGAAGCTAGGTACAGTCTTATTAAAGTTTCAGAGTTGCACAAAGAAAGCGTGCAAACGCAAATCGACCGCCTTACAAAACCTTTCAAAACTGATGCTTGCCATTGCACAGAATTACGGTAAGATCAACTGACTACAAAGTGAGAATGTGATTGCCTGATAAACTGACAAACGCAACTGAGTGACAATTCGCAGTTCACATAGCTTATGAAATTTTCAATCTCAAACTGTGGTTTGAAAATAACTTACATCGTTTGAGAATGGACTTCCTCTCTATCGGGTTCTGTAAACAGACAAATAAACAGAGAATGACAACGTTTTTCACTTAGCAACATGCAAGGAAAAAAAAGATCGAAAAGGATTGAAATGATTATTAAAATGGTAAACGAATTTAAACTCACCGTCGTCCATTTTTTCACGCCCAAACCCGATGCAAATCTGTGCATGCACGTGAATTTACTGCTGGACAAAAAAACTGTGGAAAATCAGGACTGGGCCACCAGGCCTCTGTGCCGCTAGGCCACCAGGCCGCAGGGCCGTCGTGGGCCTCGGGCTGCTGGGCCTTTGGGCCGCCGGGCCGCTGGGCTGTCGCAGGATGTGGGCCGCGGGCCTGCTTTTAGCAAAACCCCGGGTTCGATTGCTCAGTCATTTAATGATCAACTAACTCTTGTGGTTAATGTTTAAATCAAACATATTGTTCATAATAAATCCTCTGCGGGCACTATTTGAGATGGGTGTGAGTCTGGGCTTACACTAACTCCACGATAAACGCAGCATTTCTGGACTGATCGCCTCAATCCTGAATCTTTAGTTTTGATGAGGACATTCCTGACCACACCATCTGTTCCTGGATAGACTTCTTTCACGAAGGCAAGTTCTCATTTTCCTTGTGGGATGTTGAAATCGACAAGGACAACATGGCCGACTATGTTGTGAACGAAACGGAAGGCATACGCTATGACTCTTGTATGGTGGCCTAGGAGTGCCATAAGAAAATTGTGTATTATCTTGTAAGTTCCCCGTAATTTATTATATTTCATTTTATTTTTAAACTTTAAACGAAAAAAAATTATTATCGAGATACTTTAAATCAAATTTAAACGAAAAAAATAGAAAGTAAAGTAAAATAATTTTTAAGCAAAAGTAAAATGAAACGAAAATAATATTTCCTTGGCCTAGCAGTGCCATAAGGTTTTTCTAAAAAAAAAAAATGTTGTTCATGGCCAATCGATGCCAGAGCCCACAATGCACTTGGGTATTGACCCATTAATTGGGTGTTTGACTTCTTGTAGGTGTAGTGGCTGAAGGTCTCGGCCTTCATGCTTAGTTCCGAGGCTTCTTCACTACAGATTAAGCCATCATTATTGATTAGTTTCACAAAGTGCCCGTCAATGAAGGTTTCTATTGTTACAAACTCATTGCCCATAGATGAGAAAAAACTTTGTTGTACGTAAAGGTTCTTCCAAACTCTAGCACTGGTGCTTCTGCATCCATTGACTGTGTAAAGTTTCGTGCCAGAGCATTCAGTTGAACAGATTTCCTGGTGTGTGCTTCCATTGAACCGAACAGCTGAATTATACCAGGTTTCTCTCCTTCTTTGTATTTCTTTAATACATAATCTCCTTTACGAAGGCCTGATAAAGCCTTGGCCATATATGCCTCTCTAAATGCACCTTCTGAAAACGACTTACGATGCAGCGAAAGTGTGACCGGAAAAGGATCTAACCACTTCAATTCACTGACTGCAAATTCTTCTAGATGAAGCGTGACAACATTTGTTTCTGGCTCTATAAGCTGGCCCACTTTCAACATTTGACTAAGAGAGACAGAATGCGGTATTACAGACGATTTTGTGACAGCTGTCGCCGGACTATCGCACTTTCGTGGGCTAACTGGCTCACTTTTATGTAATGGCCGGACGAAGACTGGCTCCTCCGCTTTTTGCGACTTTTCATATATTCCAGAAATCTGATATGAATGACCTTCGACCAGTCTTTGATCTGACTTTCATGCGTGTAAGAGGGCCCGCGTTCGCCCGTGAGAACATCACATTCGCAATTTGTTCCAAAATGCGACTTACAGGCATCTTTGATATTCTTGAAAGTTGGTTCTTTGTCGAACGGCACGAGGGTTAAAGGGCCAATGCGGTTGTACTTTTGGCACTTGCCTTGAACGTTTGCCGATAGTCTCTGCACAGTCAAGAAGCCTTCAGATGCACTGGGGCTAGCTTTATCGCTCTTTGCACCTACCCGTTTCTTTCCTTGGCGCTCCTTGTAGTCGTCCCATTGCTTACGTTTACCCCACATGATTGAAACAGCGAAATCATGCAAACATCGCTTAGGAGCCACGCAAAAGATCAGCGAAGTGCATTGTGGGCTCTGGCATCGATTGGCCATGAACAACAATTTTTTTTTTTTTTTTAGAAAAACCTTATGGCACTGCTAGGCCAAGGAAATATTATTTTCGTTTCATTTTACTTTTGCTTAAAAATTATTTTACTTTACTTTCTATTTTTTTCGTTTAAATTTGATTTCAATTATCTCGATAATAATTTTTTTTCGTTAAAAGTTTAAAAATAAAATGAAATAACATAATAAATTACGGGGAGCTTACAAGATACTACACAATTTTCTTATGGCACTCCTAGGCCACCATACTCTTGTGAGCTTCTGCCAACTCGAGTAATGTTAAGGATCTATCGGTGGTTACTGATTGCTTAATAGAGCCATTATTTTTGTCTTCTTTTTCTGAGGATCGTCTTCTGTGCTTTGACAAACTGACTTGATTGGCCACTCTTCCTTGGGGCCTTTTAGAAATTGTGGCCCATTCTTCCAACGCCCATCGATGTCTTCTAAAGAGATGCCTTGGCTAAGGTCGTCAGCAGGGTTAAGGTTTGTTGGAACAAATCGCCAGTACTTGGGGTCCCAGGTAGACTGTATGTCGGCAACACGAACTCCCACAAAGGGCTTAAACGAGACTGACTCAGAGTTCAACCAATGTAAAACGATCCTGGAATCTGACCAAAAAGTAACTGACACAGGCTTAAACTCTTAAACTCGTCACAGATGATTTGGGTAAGTCGGGAAGCCACAAGGGAAGCCATCAGCTCTAGTCGTGGGATAGTCGTCTGTCACAGTGGTGCAACTCTTGCTTTTGCTACAACCAAATGTACTTCTGGTGTGTGTACTGTTGGCCACAGAAGATAAGCCACAGTTCCAACACAGCTACCGTTGAGTCATTCAGGGTTGGACAGATAGGTACTATGTGGTCACCTTTGCATAGTGGACACTGAGTTTTTGCCAATGATCCATCGTGTGGAATGAATCCTTTCTTTTCCTCGGCCACCTCCACCAAATTCAGATTGGATGTCGCCAAAGTCTGGGTCGAATTAGGCCTTGACGTGTTTCCTCACAAAGTCACTTATGTGTTGAAGTGTGGGAACCTGGCCTCTTTCTCTGATATCCACCACCACCCCTTTCCATTTGTCCACGAGATAGTCAGGAAGGTGCATGACAATTCTCCTCAAGTTAGCATTGGCGTTTACATCTGCATAATAATTGAGGTGGTGCATGATGGAAAGGCAGTTGAGCTCTGGCTGTAACACTCAGCTCGCCAAACTGCTCGTTTAGACACTTTAGAGCTGTAGCATACATTATGCCCTTTAATCCCAGGCCGGAGATCGCTCGTTCAGGTTCACTCTTTAAGAGCATGCGTAACTGAATCATTTGGGTGGCATCTTTAACGTGTACCTTTTCATGGATGTGGATCTTAAATTGATCTATGAAATCTGTGTAGGAGAGAGGACCACCATCGAAGGAAGGTAGCTGTCTTGAAGAAATGTCATTATTAGCTTCTAATTTGAAAAGCACATTGGCTATCGTGAAATTTCCTGCATCGGACTTGGAAAGGACTGTCTCTTGAGACTCAAAAAGGTCGTCAATCCAAAAGTCAAATGAGTGGGCATGCTCCAGCTTGCCTTTAGGAGCTACATTTAATGTCACTTCATGTGAAACAGGCGGTTGTTTTGACGTCTTTATGGCCTGTTGAGCTTCAACATTATTAGTAGAGGTGTGACCAGCATGATTTTCCACGAGTGTTAAATCCTGGGCAGAAACGGGCTGGACCTGGGAATTTGCCGATACATTAGTGCCACTTGATTGTCCTGAGTTCCCCACAGAACTATTTGCGTCACTTGCGTTACTTGCATGACTAGCCTTTTCAATGGAATCGTCTGCGTTATTTGAGTGATTCGTGTCCCCCACAGAAGCACTTGTGTTACTTGCATGGCTTGCATCCTCTGCGGAACCGGTCGTGTTAACTTGATTTTCTTCAAGCACGATTGAAGAAACTTCCACTTCTTCAATGGAAGATACATCAGTAGCCAAATCATTTTCCCACTGATCCAGGGTGTCGTGTTCTTCTGCCTCCACAGCTCACCATTCTGCTCTCCACCAATTTCGTAGTCCTTTTGAAGCTGTTCGATTTCTTTCCCCAGGCGTGCTTTTTTCGCTTGAACTTCATCTTTATCCAGTGTCTCATGAATACGCCTAATAGCCAGGCTTATTCTTCGGCGACTTTGAGATCTTTGTCTTCTTTTCTTTTTAAGGGTATTCTCCTGGTTTATAGTTTCTTCGCTGGTTCCTTCACCTTTGGCTGCCATCTTTCATAAACAGAGGATTATCTACAAGGGTACCATACCAACTGGCCGACTAAATCAATGCTCAAATCCTTCAGAAATTTTGGTATAGACCCCAGCAGACAGCAACCGAGATGAGGAGTCCTTTAATAGCCTTAATAAAGTAGCAATTCTGAAAATCAAGGTACAAATGAATGATTCTAAGATTACATTCCGATCATTTTTGGGACGTATAGTGAAGCCGATTTCTGATTACATTACAATAAAATGGCTAGAACAAGTTCAAAGACAAAAAGATTAAGGAATAAAACAATCGTACCTGAAGGGTAAAACCTCACTTGGTCGAAAAGGTTTGAACTGTCCGTAAGGAAATTACTGACTGTAAACACTGTACGAAAACAATTGCTGTCCATATGTAACTTGTCTGAGCTACCCCGTACGTAACTTGCAGATCTGCCGAAGGCCTTTCTCAGGTCTGTCACAGGTCTGTTCAGTCATACAGCAGACTAATTTGACGAAAAACCGAAGTCTGCAAGTCTGCATACCGTCTGTGACAGACATCTCATGAAAATGACTGCTTCTTTGACTGTGTGTTGCCTTTTATGTTGCATGCAGCAAGTCTGTTGCAGACCTTTCGTGACTTTTGGTGATTATGCAATAAGGATCTATGATAATGTCTGCACTTGATCTGCAGCAGACGCTGTGCAGACAACCAATACAATTTTGTGTCAAAGCAAGAGGGAACCTTTAATTTCTGTGATCTATCTATTGCTTTATGATCTCGGAGTTAAGCGTACAAGCAGCACATATATACACAATGAGCAATACTTTTAGTGTTGACACATTAGGGCCATTTATACGAGGAAAAATAAGACGCGTCTTAAATATTAAAGACGCGAACTGTACCATTTATACGAACATGTCTTATCTAATAAGACGCGTCTTAGCTAAGCCGCGTCTTATTTTAGACGAAATGTGCCGTTTATACGGAAAGTTCGCGTCTTATTTAAGACGCGTCTTATGTAAGAGGCGTCTTATTTTTTCTCGTATAAATGGCCCTATTGTTAATGATGAATTTTTATCAAGATTTCACAATCATCCGCAAAATGAAAAACTTCTTCTCAACACTTGCGCTTTCAGCAATTGGAAATTGTGCTGGCCACGCGTTATGAATACGAGTTCTATGTTTTCTGCATGCAAACATGTAATAATTTCCATTCAATAATCGTCATTCAATCGATCAATTTACTCTGTCCAAGAGCGGCGGAAATGAAAAGTGATATTGGACCAATATGGAAGCTGGTAATAAGTGTACATTCATTCATTCACCATCTGGAGTTTGACCTGATCGATAAGGCTGGGGCAGAGTGGAGGGCAGATTAAACCTGAAATGTTTTGTTTTGCAACAGTTGGAGGATCCCTTACAATATTTTTAGAAAAAAAAAGTTCAACAAGGGCTGGCAATATACGCTATCTCCACCTACTAAAATTGCCGCAATTTTGTAATTCAGGGTTTTGCAAAAAGAGATTTACTTAAGTGTTGAGATCAAGCCAAAGATAAATTATATTTTATAATTTATTGTAAAGTGACCAACGTACATGATAAATTGACCAACATAGGTAAGGAATGTTCGTTTTAGAATCCTTCTCACTGATAATAAACCGATCAATGACATACCGTATCTGATGAGATCAGTCAATCTCTTTCCCATCTGTTCGGAAAGTATGTGACATAAGCAATTGCACAATTGGATAATTGGATAAAAATACATTTTTCAGAAATACTGGAAAGAGGAACAGCTACGAGTTCAGACTCTCTTGAAGGTACTTTGACAAGGGTGAGATGGAATCCGGTGGCTTTGGTAATAGGGTCCATGACTATAGGAAGATGATCAGTTTCCCTTGGCATTTTCATTACCATCGCAAAGTTTGATGTTTTTCTCTTGCATCGTCCGTCACAATTTGTATTTTCACAAAAGTGGTGTTGAAAATAAAATTTCACTTATCCAACCTGCAGAATACCATTTTCCATGTACAGCACTGTATATGAATTTCTGCTTGTGACCCTTTTGTACTCTGCACTATGATAGATTGTAGTGCGCCCTACACGAATTCTTTGAAACATTTTTACGGTGGTTGAAGTTGGAACATAGTTTAAAGCCTTAACTAGAGCTTCAAATTCAGACCCTGTCATATTGTAATACTTCAATGATCCGATGGCATATATGCCTCTGTCCAGAAGTGTTTCATTTGTCCCTGAATTATACCTTTGCATCGCCTGGTAAAGTTTATATGCTTTTTCAGTACTTTTTTCAATGTCATTTTCCAAACTTGGCAGTTTTTGAATGATGGACACAGCAGTTACCAACTGGAACTGAACATTTTGTGTTCCGTGTACAAGTTTTAATAGGAAGCCATTTTTATCTTCAAAATGGAAACAACTGTGTGTCTATAGTGGCCCTAGTGCTCTAACATTGTCTACCAGATGTACTAAGTAATGTACATTAGCTGTTTCATATCTTTCTCCGTACAATGGACCCATCATTAAACAAAAATGAAACAGCATTCTCTCGGCATGTACTAGTTGTTCTTCCGATATTGAGTCTAGGAGCAAAATAAACACTGACTCGCTCAAAAGAGCGAAGTGTTGAAAATATTCATCAGAAAGTATTCCATGGAGTACAGGAAGTCCACAAGAGAGTAGGAATGACCTCAATTCCGATGCCTTGTAATATTTCAAGTGAAACTCTAATGCTCTTGGACATCGAGAGATCTCATTTGGATATTTTATTTCTTCAAGTCTCCGATCGACCTCTTTGACACGGTTTGAAATGTTAAAAAGGGCGGAGGAGTGCTCTTTTGAAAACCATAATCGAAGAAGCATTTTTACAATGCCCAGTAACACACAGTGCATATAGTCAATAGCAGTAACTTCAATTATGTCATAATACTTCAGAGCAGCAAGCCAGCATGGGCCTTTAATACCATTTACGGGTTTCCCGCAATCGATGGCTTGTTTAGCATCTTCCATACAACCTGTTGATGTCCTTTTTTTACCCTTGATATTATCTGCGTTAAATGAAAAAGCATGCATGTGTCCTTTTGCAGACGTTTTTACGGTTATACCTGGGATTTTGCATTTACAACAACCGTAAAATCCATTATATTAAACGGTATTGCAAACCATACATTTGGCTGGCAAGTCACACGTTCCGCAAATGACAGTAACCTTTGAGTTAAAGGAACAGGCTGTTTCACCAGGGATGGTTATGTTTACGCCCTCAGTTTCTAGTTTACTTAATCCTTCATAACAAGGCGAGAAAAACGTTAACATCTGCGGTTTGTTTGTTCCAAACCAAAGGCCAGCAAAAATCATATTTTCTCTCCGTATCCTCTTGTTGTAGGGTAACTCGTTAACTATGAAATATAAGGGCCATAATGCGAAAGATGAAGATTTGAATAATGGCACTCCGTCAGTGTTCCAGGTCAGTGAAATGTTTTTTGGGTCGCTCAGTAAACCATTGTTTTCAAACAGAGACTTGTATATATGGCCATCATATATGTCGCTAATTTGCCCAGCGTGAGTTCGCCTAAATCTATATTGAAGATCATCAAAAAAGCCATCTTTTGCAAACAGGCTTTGGATTTGTTTTGCTACGGGAACTTCAATGAAAAATGATGTGGACCCGTGTTTTGTTAAATCTTGTTGACACAGATCGTTTGGACACACTCTGTGCTCATGCCTATCATTTAGGAGCAGCAAACAATGTGAGCAGTATTTATGGCAAATGATTGGGTTCTTTAGCTGGTGAAAGTACTTCATGAAGTTATGAAGAGATTGTAAGCCACACTGCACGAAAAAATGGATTTACAACAACTGCAAAATCAATGCAAATATGCAGTAAATACCACATTTGATCAAATTTGTTTATATTTGCCCCGAGGCAAATTCCATCGTTGGATAATATTTGCACGCGAAGCAAAGATGGTAAATACCGCATTTACTCAATCTTTACAGTCCAAAGCAAATGAGAAGAAAAACTGCACATTTGCATCACATTTAACATGAACTAAAAATGTGGTAAATAGATAAATCTGCTGCACCGAAACATGAATTTACAATTGTAGCAAACATTCTGCTGCACTTTGTTTTGATTACATTTACCCGCAATGCAAACCCCATTTTTGCATCACATTTGTAAGTAAAGCAAAGGCGGTCAACACTTTATATTTACCAAGTAGCAAATACTACGCAAACGTCATATTTGCACAGTAATTACAATTGAAGCAAAGGTGGTGAAAAATATCGTTCACTACGTATTTGCGCCGAGTGGCAAATGTGACAAAAAATCCACATTTGACAACTTTACAGGGGCAGTAAATGCTAGGAAAAAGCGTAAATTTACTGCCTGAAAGGATGAATCTACAGGGGTGGCAAATACGATTTTTGCTTCGCTTTGATCGTGTTTGATCCAGTCAAAATTCTTGCTCATCATTAATTTGCACGGGAAGCAAAATACTAAATTTACTTCTTCTTCATACATCCAGTACAAAATGCGTCGTGCGCGAGAGTATTTGCCGCGAATCCTTGTTGTCGCAAAGAAATGTAGAAATATACGTTTAAGTCGATTTTCTTAATGGGGATAAAATTTTTCAAAGTTAGCGTTTGCCTTGAAACTAGCAGAAACTAAACGTTCATTAAAACCAATTTTCTCTGTCGTTAAGGTTACCATTTACTCCCTCTTTTATTGTACGTTGTCCCAAATCGATTACTACATAATGGAGCAAAGATACCAAACCGGGACTGTATGTTCAGCACTATGCACATATTATTTTATTCAAAAGACAAATTGATATCGTCACAAGATAAGCAGCAAATGACCTTTTAAATAAATAAAACATTATTTAAAAAAATATATCGGAAACAGTTATTAGCCAACTTCCTATAATTGTACAAGCATCCACATAATCTGATTATCATGCATAAATTCATGGGAATTCCTCTACAAAATCAATCAAATTCTCGAGCAGTTTAAAACAAGAGAACAAGTCAATTATTTGTGTATTGGTTAACTATTGCATTGCATTAGCCTTTCGGAGGATTAAAACTATAAGGGACTTAGAAGAGAATACTGGGCAATTAACTCTTCATTCATTCATTCTTCTGCTCAAAGAGAGTATAGAATACAAGCCTCTTATCCAATGATAATCAGTGTGTTTGCCGAAGTTGAGCAAATTTGTAAATCACTAATATTTTTTTCATATTCAAAAAAATCCCTTTCATCAAAAACTATGATAATACGTTAAGGACCTCTATGTAAATCACCGTGGTGAGTGAGTCTCCTGGTTAAAAATTATTATTATTATTAAGGTTAAGAAAGGTT